TGCAAGCCACATCCCATTTAAAGCAGTTGCCCAGGGTGCAGTGTTTTCAATACTTGTTTCAATTAAACAACAAAAAACACTGACTTTAAAATACAGGACAACATAAGGCATGCAAATAAGCATCTGCTTAATTAATCAGTGTTGTTTTAGTCTTAGTTTAAGGATTACCCCCCTCCTCCCCCAGCTGGCACAATAACCAGGACAGAAGGAGGAAAACATGCAATTTCTGACTTGAGATCTCTGTATTTGCATCTTCCAACGTATTTTAACACCTGATTTCGGCTTCTCGGTTCTGTTAATAATGAGGCAAAAGGTAAACATCTAGGGCACAACAGCAAACCAGTATGTTTGCAAGTGCAGGTTTTCACTTAGTAGCAAACTAGCCACTGGTGGCTATCTCTTCATCAGCATTCAAGGCAGGTGAGTATCACGTAAACACAAACACAGCTCCCTAGCACTAACAGTAATGCTAACCGCTGAACTAAGCTAACTAATCAATAGTTCTGTAGAGAGATACACAGAAACTATATATTATACACTTTAACACTGGAAGAAGCAGTTAGTACACGGTCAAAATGTGGAGTCTCATTAATATACAACTTCCTTGGCTTCTACATGCATGAGTTATACAAGCACATGCCCATTTTCATATTTAAAAGACAGCTTTCAGTTTCAAATTTGTTTCTTGTGTTGCAAAGCTGTAGGCACGCAGGGTATCCAAGAATACATCAATGAAACACACAGGAAACAGGCGGCGAGAGAGGAAAGGCTAGGAAAGCAGTCATGTTTGCTATTAGCAGGCCCTATGTGCCCTTTGCACCTGGAGCAACATGGAAAAAAGGACTATGGCCTAATTCACCAGATAGTGTTCTGTGAGGCTATACACTATAATTATTTTGACATTATTATTGAGTTATTTTTATGCTTCTTTTTTTTAAAGGCCGAGGTAATAATACAGACATACTGCATGAATAGTGAGTTTCCTACACACTTCAATCAGTGCACCTGAAACTTCAATTTTTTTAAATTAAATCTTTTTTTAAAAAGTCATCTGAATCTAGCAAAGGAAGCCCTTTGGTTCACAGTGGTCTCATTCTTCCCTCTCAGCTTTTCTTGGAACAAAGCAGGAACTCGCCGGGTGGAAATGGATTCCCTGGTTCCATGTGGAATTTTGGAGCAATCTAAGGAGGGATTTTTTGGGGAGTTTCAGTGCAGGAAACAAAGCACAACACAAACTAGAGTAAAAATGCTTGCTTTTTCAGAGACCTTTAAACAAGAATGTTCAGGAGACAAGCTCACGCCGTGATCTGTTGTGCCAGAATTCCTATTTCACCACACATGCCCTGGTCCCTGAAAGTAATAAAAACAGTTGTAAGCATGAACAGGAATGAGGACAAGCTGAACAGACCTGTCTACGCATTGAGATCTGCTCTGAGCTCAGCCATGACCAAGCCCTCATGCATTCCTGCCTGCTTCTCGGATTTCTGTCCACAGGAGGGACAACTGCGAAACCTCTGTGGCTTTTTTGTATGTGGAATTATTTTCCACCGCTGCCCACACAGGCTCGGCATGGGGCACGGGCCAGTAACTCTGCTTGATTGTTTTGATTCTTCTCCAGGCAGAGAGTTCAGTATTCCGCTCCAGAGAGAGTGCGCAGGCCAAACAGAGGAGACAGTGTAGCAACTGGCAGACATGTTCAGACAATACAGCGCATGTCATCACGGTGTGGCAGCAGAGATAGCCTACAGCAACAGCGATCATCAGAATCAAGGATTTCATTATGGAATGTTTTTTTTGGGGGGGGGGGGGGGGGGGACAAAAGTAGTTGTTTTGTCAAACTGTCTTTATTTTTTACTTCTCCATCTTCTTCTGCACCATGTCGTACTATTTTCGGCATGCATGAGGTTTGATGGGAGCAGAAAAGGGGAATTACACAGTGTCTGATCTCTGCATGACTGTGGGTTTTGGTTTAGGGCTTAAAGTCGGAGGCAGGATGACAGAAACCAGTCACAGAGATGTTGCTTTAGTTCATGAGTTCAACTGACCACCAAATGGGGACCCACAAGTCAGTCAGGTAAGGTCGAGAAACCACTTTTCACCTGTCCACTACTAAACTCCCCCTGCGTCAGTTAGCCGTACAGATTCTCCCGCATAGATAATTATAGTGTCCAAATGCCGTGCATTTTTGCGAGGTCAAAATTCCCCAAACTTTGTGACAGGTGGGGTGAAAAGGAGGGGACTTTTCTCTTTGTCTGCACGCATTTGCTCTGTGACAGTGCCCTGAAAAGAGATTACATCATCACTATTGTAGCTTCCGAGCCCTCTGCTTTCCTCCATTGGCTGGTATACAGTGGACCATCCGATGCAGACAAAGAGAGAGCATTCCAGCAGTTTAGCAAGCAGGAAACGCAGACCCGTAGTCACACCTCATTACAATCAAACTCATCAACCCCCCTCAGTCGCCAGCGAAAAGACACTCACACGGAAAAAACACTGGGGGCCACATTATCATCAAGTCATTTGACTTCTGACAATGGGCTGACTAATATTGGTCAGACACATCACTTATGTTAAAACCAACGGAGCTTCCCTTTTTTTCTAAAAAATAGAGAGATTACAAGTTATTGCTGAAGGTTGTGTCAAAACACATGATCACACTCACTCATTCTGGTGTTTTTCATAGAATAAACAAGCATTAAGAAATCGGCCCTGTAGCTGACATTGGTCATGTTGGTACACCAGATGGTCCAGGGCCACACCTCAAGGTATTTTGGTTTGTCGTCTATAGTCTGTCATCAGCAACAGGTGGTTACAGGTGGAAGGGGCAAAGGCTCAACAGCAGCTTTTCAGGTGATACTGCGCATTTCCAAAAGGTGCTCTGAGGAAGTTTAGAAATGAAGTTACAGTAAGACATGTGACGGTAACCAAGAAGCAGCAAAGAGCTTGGTCAAAACCCACTTTAGACATTAAGATCATTAAACCAACAAAGACTAGCGCACTTTGAACTTGAGATTGAATCATAACATTAATCTTATTATTCATTAGAAAAATGTAAACAGTCGATTTCAGCATTTCATGAAGGCCACTTAGCATAATTGCAGAACCACACATTCCAGAGAGCCAAATTGTAAAGCAGCACAATGCTGCTCTTGTTGCTGTCTTTTATCGTTGCGCGAGCTATTCCCTTCGAGCCAACGCACAGGAGACAATAGAAACATAAGCTCAAGTTAGCAACAGGAAGCATCCCCCTGTGAATGTGCGGGCACGTTGGAAAAGACTCCACAACAAATGAAGCACAATAACAATTGTTGCTGTTATGTGAGAAGTATGATGAAAAAAAGTGAAAATAGAAACACTGTCCTTTAGAAATAAACCAGGGGGAGGATTATTTATGCTGGTAAGGAAGATGAGAAGCAATGGCTTTTTTCCCCTAAAGGATCATGTTTAGAGTTTGCAAATAGATGCATTTTGATGAGAGCGGCACAAAAAACCCCTCATCTTTGGACTTATCTTGTCAACCAGCTGTTATTCGTATAGGCTTCATGCTGCCATGGCTGCAAACTAGTCTGCCTAAATGAGATGTTTTAAGGCCCACGCAGTAATGCCTTTATTTTCTGGTATTTTTGTCAGCAGCATAAAACACAGATTTGTTGGCCCACTGGCAGATTAAAACAGGGCAAGCATACTTCTCCCAGTAGCAATATGAAGCTGTATAGATTAATTCTCTATAAGAAATCCCATCAGAAAAAGCAAGATGCAGTCTGGTGTGAATAATAGCTACAATTTAGAACAAGCTAACGGGACAAAGCCGAGATTAGACTCACTAGTAAAAAATGGCAGTGCCGCTGTATGATCAGTCATGCCCACCGCAGGTCAGCTAAGCCTATCAAGAACGCTAAAAATCCTTGATCCTTGCCCAAAGCCATACACCAAAGCTTCCTTTTTTCACCTGACTCCTGCGAAGTTATCCCACTCCAACAAGCACAATACAACACAGTAACAAGTACAGGGGGAGCCCACTGGTTTTCACTTTCTTACCTGCATAACTGCTTTGTTACAGCTTATATTTTGTAAATATGCTAATTTTGGACACAATGCTGCATACAATGGATTTGAACTCTGGCTGAAGGCTGGCACTGTTTCCTGTTTGTTACTATCTAAACAGTCCACTGTTTGCCTTGTTGCCATGCATTGACAGATCTTTCCTATTATATCATGTTGCCACCACTGTAATGATCTGTATTCTCTCTAGCTATTCCAAAACACTTGCTATGTGCCCACAGTGGACCAAAAAGAGCTGGTTTTGTGTAGCCTGTATTGTACACATTAAGCATAACTAAATCAGCAAAAGGAGGGTCTGGCATATTGATCAGACTGAACTCTGTAGACATTCACCATGCAGTCAGCTGCTCAAGAAGATGATGAACCAGGCAAGGCTGTAAACAAATCAGAGATCTGGGGGCCATGCAGCTGTGGTGAGAAGGAAATCACCTCTATGAAATCCCTCCTCGTGTGGCAGCAACCCGGGGTACATCATGCTGAAAAATAGAGATTTTCGGGTGGTGACAGTTACACAATGAGACATCCACACATGCTATATGTAGTGGTGCACGATGCCACCTGTGAATCGTCTCCCCGCAGTAGTGCTCAGAACAATGCCCTTGACATATAGGCTACAACGACGCAGCAGATACATGTCTTTTGACACTTCGTCTACCAGCAGCCCTGCTAGTTAAAAACACAGTGGCACTGATTGCGCACTGGCTCTACACTGCACCTTCACACAGCACAAAGATGTGCTTTGTCCACAGACAGCCGACCGATGTGTGCAGGCACCTTCTACCACGAACACAGCAGCGGTATCCCTACTCACCTTTTCTCTTTCAGCCTCAAGCTTCTGCATGTCACACAAAACGAAGCGGGGTTTTTCCTCCTTTTGTTTCAACTCGTAACAAGGTCCTAAAAGTCCGAGACACAAACTGCGCAGCGCTCTTCCTTACCTTCGCGGGGAACGTGTTCGCTCCGGTTCAAACCGAAAATGCGCCGGTGTCTCACACGAAAGGCAACTTGGAAGTTTGATACAAAGTTACGGGTTTGCCTCGCTGCGCTATGCAGCTGCTGGAGGGATGAGATCATTCAGGCAGCCTCCCCCCTGGCTCTCTCTCTCTCCCTGCCCCGGAGTCTCGCGAGAAGGCTTCGTGGGGGAAGCAAACGTTTCCGTGGCAACAGGGCTCACCTGTAGTGGGTTGACGGTGAGGAGGGGAAAACGAAGAGCTCTCACTCTGCGTTGAAAAACCAGACTGACTATGCAACTATGCAAGCTAATGCTAGGAAGCACATTTTTTTTCTTTTACTTACTCTGAAGGTCCAGTTACATTCCTTTTCAGAGGTAAGTTAGGTTTGAACAATACTAATTGGGTGTTTCAAATTATTTAAATAAACTGGACAGCCAGTAGGCCAAGTGATATTTAATGGCCATTCCCAGCAAAAGAATAGGCCTACACAAAATATAACTTTGCCATGTTAACAGGGTGTTTTCTGTCTTCTTAAGACTTTAAGATTTGCTGCAGTAACAAGATGTTTTGTGTCGTCTCAGGAAGTCCAAATGTTAGCAGGGTGTTTTATGTCATCTTAAGACAAATCTTCCTTCAAATTTGTTCCTTTTCACTGCTAATCAGTCAAATTCAAGGACATACAATTTAGTAGGGACGCTACCAATATCCAGCAACTAGGCTACTTAATTGTGCCTAGCAATAATTTTGATGAACACAATAAATATAAAACTGTCACCAGTAACAGCTAGTCTGGATGGGAGATGCAAACGTAGCAAAAGCTGTCCACCTTCAAACGAAAAAGTAGTAGTGTGGATGTAGCCTTAGTACACAGAACCTTCTTGTGAGGAGGGCCTTTCCACTGACAATAATGAAATTAAACCATACACACAGGAGCTCTAGGGAAGGAGCATTTTACCTATTGTTATTTTTTTAAACTAACAACATTTAACCTAGCCTACTGTTTCAAATGCCCTGTTGAAAACATACGGTTAAAGGAAATTTAAGACAACTTTCAACACAGTTTCTAAAGCTTGCAATGCCATGCAGTGCTTAATGTAAAAATATTGTATTTTTTTAAAACTAATTTTGCTATAGTCACATGCAGGGTTATTTGGGCCAAAATACATGCAAATCAAAAATATTGTCCAGAGATGAAGTTAGAATACAGACGTGATGAGATTGAATCGAGTGATTCATCGCTCAAATATAAACAATCTTTGGTGGTATTTTACTGCAAGCTGTGTGTGTAGGGAGGAGCACCGGGGGTGGGGAGGAGAGGCCCCTGGCATTCCTCCTCCAATATTTGCTGCTTCCAATAGCCAACATTACTTACCTGACTGTCAACCACAGACCAATATGCCCGTGGGAAATATATTCATCAAATGTCCTGTATCACGACAACACAAATATTTAAATGTGATGTGCAAAGGCTAGTGAGTCAGGCTATCTACAAACAGAAATAAAATAGTGTCAGGTGACTGAGTTTCACTGTTGTCCCAGCGGCAACCTGCCAGAAACATTAGGGCACTGCCTGGCCTGTGTAGCCTGTGGCTCTGACATCACCATGATGATGTGGATGTGAGCGGATGTGCAGAAAATCCACTGCTAATCTGCAGACCTGGCAAACAATGCATACTGTGCATAGAAAACTTAAGCTGGATAAGAGCTCGTCACACAGCGGCAAGGTCGATGCATTCCTAAATGCATGTTTTTGGACTTGTCTTCAGGTGTCACTGTGGTAGTAAAGCATTCCTGCAGCTGTATCAGGCTACCAGTATCAGCAGATCTTGTGAATTGGTCGAGAAAGAAGATCTCGACAAATAAAGAATGAATCAGCAGGCTAAAGGACGCATAATGCAGTTATTTAAGTGAGCGTCTTAGTGTACATGATGACATGCCTTATAATTGTACATCCTTCCTACTGTATTTCAAGCCTCATTACTATGCCCACACAGAGCGGTTTCAGACATGACAACATCTATGTTTGTCAACCTTGTATCAGAGCAACACATCTTTGTAGCAGGTGTCTCACTGTATATATGGTCCAATTAAAACAAAATAAATCAAGGAGGGAGAATATTGGATTTAAAGGGTTTTAATTCAGTGTAAACAATTTGTGAATGTGTGTGTGGTGAATGTTAATTCATAAAAGCATGACAGAAGTTATCCGTTGGTAGGATCAAATCAGCAGCACCATCTGCTGGATAGGCTAGCAACTTGTAACTACACTTTAACATACTGTATCTCCACTACTCTTAAAGCACTTATAAAACCTCAGATAATATTCCCTCAGCATTTCAGAATATCACCCTCATGTAATAAGGCTTAAAAGTGTGGAGGACAGCATATCTGCTTTGACTGTGATGTATGAGAAATCTTAAAATGTTGGAAGCTATTCTTAGGTCTTGGTTAATCTTAATAGTCTTTGGATGTCAGGCTCGATGTCAATGGTGGGGAACTTCTTGCTGTATCTTTTAAAGGGCTCTCCCTCTGGCCCGACGAGGAATTTCTCAAAGTTCCAAGAGATGTCCGTCCTGCTGATGGGACTCCAAACCAGAAATTTGGGGTCCTGCATGAAGGAGTTGGGGTCGTCATCGGGATAGTGGAGCTTGTCTTTAAGATAGGCAAAGACCGGGTGTGTGTTTGTTCCGTTGACATCACACTTCTCAAAGATAGTAAAGTTGGGCTGAAAGCCGCCGCCTGGGCGCACATTCTGCAGTGAATTCAGGATCTCACCATTGGAGCAGTTCTCCTGCAAAACACAAGTATTCATTTCCATATTCTCCAGCTGTATATACTACACAGCTATATTGTAATGGCTTTAATGCTCATAGTTTGCTTCTAATCTTAGCGATAACAGGAATTAAACTGATTACTGTCGCAAACAAAATCACTCTCTATAAGAGTGCTAAGCAGATTTAACACTCTTTAGATTTAATGTCTAATTGCAGTATCAACGCTAAAGTACCAGCTACAGTTTGCACAATATGCAATCATGCTCTTCTTACTGAATTGCTGTTTGGGTGAAAACATAGGGAAATCATTCTCACTGGCCAAAGTAAACATGGAAGAATGTTCATTTTCAGAAATGAAACATGGCCTAGCAAGTTTAAATACTGTTTAAATCAACTAATGGTTATAATGAAATGCAAGAATAATGATTGAAATTGGCTTTAACATGCTAAGGAATTCGGGTGTATCTTCCAATTTGTAAAAATGTATTATATATCCAGAGGAAGCACTAAACTGAGTAACGTTTTCTATTAACATGTAAACTGATACAGCAGGGCTCCCCATGAATAGTAAGATCATAAGCATATAAAGTAATTTAGGAGTCCTATATGCATATTGCATACTGAAGTGCCACTGCCAACAGTGCAGTTCAACTGACCTGGTATCCAAACTGGTTACAGGGAAAACCCAGGACCACCAGCCGATGTGGGTACTTGCTCTGAAGCTGGTTGAGCTCGGAGAAGTCCCGGGTGGTGGTGCCTCAGAGCGAGGCCACATTTTCTATCAGGACCACTCTACCCCTAAACACGTTGAAATCAACAGTGTCTCCCTCCAACGTCTTGGCCCTCAGGTCGTAGAAGGTCTTGGCGATGAATGTCATCTTGACTCCTGTGCTTCCACACTGCCGGCAGATGGGATCTCAACGTGCGATTGTACCCCAGTTTTGGTCACCTGACTCACTTAGGGCAGAAAGCTGCCTTTCATGGGTGTCAAATGGCTCTGCAAGAAGCTGATACACCTGTAATGCAACACTATTAACAAGTTTCAGACAGATTGATGTAACTTCCAATGAAACCACACAAGCACATGATGCATGATTTACTGTAAGGTGTGTTATCCTAATTCAGATAAGCTTTGAAAAGTGTTTACATTTTATAATAATGTCTTTGAACCCAAACGTCATGTGCTGTTAATCACTGGAATTATTTTAAAATTTGGTTATTATCCCGAGTATGTTTTTGTGTGTTGACTGGAGCAAATAACATGTATTATTGCCATGTTTTCGGCTTTATGGTGTGTCTATGACAAGTATCTGTTTTCTTAGTCATCAAATATTTAACATGTGATCACCTGTCTTTCACAGAAGGTGATGAAAAATGAATGAACCTACCGCCTGAACTCTCCGTGTACCTAACATCACACTCAGTCCAAATTTAGTGACTCAGCAAAGCTCAGATACGCTATTAATTTGTTTTCAAATATGACAATTTCAATTTATTAACTTACATAGACATACAGCTTGATTTTTTGCCACATGCTTGAGTTTCAAACATTGTACTGAAATTACACATCTATGGCACCTCAGCAGACCCTGAAAACATTATTTTAAGCAGCAGTGACACTCCTTAAATGCAACACCGGTCACATTCATAAAACAAACTGTACATATACATTTAGGATGGTAAATGAACATGGCACAACACTGTCTCCTTTAAGCAAATAAGTCAGCTGTGTTAATGAATCTCTGCCTGATCGGTTTGAGTTTCCAGGTGTAAATAATTAAACTCTGTCCTCTGGCTACCTTGCTGCAGCATATACACTCGTTGCAACTTTTATAAACATATTTCTTTGACATGGATCCACATGTTACCAACCAATTTGTAGATGTGCAGCTTGTGAATAAAATTTTTAAAAGTAACAAGCGAAGGTGATGGAATACAGCAAAGTGATGAAGGAGATGTATAGTGCATTTCACCAAGGAAAATGAAGGTCGTGTGTGAACTGATGGTTTTGCAAATGGATGCGGAGCTGCCTTCATGCCCTGTAGATAAACTAATTCACTGACTGAGAGTGATCATGCGACAAGATTGGCCCTCTGCTGGTTGCTGATGCTAACTGCGTTTACCACGAAGTCACTTCACTGGCTTGGAAAAAGTGAAACCAATCGAGCACCCTCCTCACCAACAGGTCATAGTGTCTCTGAAGAAGGCGGAGGAGGGCTGAGTCAAGTCAAAGTGGGGAACAAATGTCCTCAACTACAGTATGAGCCATGACGGCCCGTCTTTCTAACAGGCGCAGTTCCTCTGAGTGTTGTCGTCTTTATCTTGACCGTCCTTCTCTTCTTCCAAAGCGGCCATCTCCAGGTAATCATCCAGAGATCCCAACAAGTTGTCCACGTCTCTTTTGTGAGCCTGCAGCACCAGTTCTGCCGCACGGGTGAAGGACTGCAGGAAAGAGGAAGTTACAAACAAACATACAGGTAATAAATAAGAATGTAGCATGGGAGTTCCCCGTAAAGTGTGTGCACATTTATAATGTGACAGACAGACAGACAGCCTGTGACTTACCTCATTGATGTTACTGCTGGTGGAGGCACTGGTCTCAAAGAACTCCATGCCATAGGTTTCTGCTAGCTGGGAGATCCAGTTGGACGTGGTTAGAAATAAAGTACAACAAATGGTATTTCATAGCTTTAGTCAGTTTTCTCCAAGAGTGAATGAACACAGAAGTTCTTAGTAGTTATTAACTGGCCTATCAATTTGTTTTAATGGCTGATGTGAAGAATCCTTTTTGGAAGAATTCAAAATCTATGAATTTGCCCACTAACTATAGCTGTCCTTTTGTTTCTTTCTGTATAAGCAAAGAAAATAGTTGAATGCTACATGACTACAATATTTCTGCACCATAGTTTGTGAAATACTTGCCAAGCTAATACATTTAGCTCTTTAGTATGACATAAATGAGGAAAATAACTCCCCATACTAATATTTGCAACCCTAATAAGCTACTGTCAGATTGTACAGTGTCCTTTCCTTTGAAAATGTCAGCTCACCATTTAGCCATAGAGCTATGTAACCCTGGTCACCTGAAATCACTGAATGTACAGCTGAAGACTGGAACAAAAACAATTTACTGAGAACTTTTGGATGCTTTTGCATATCTACAAAATCCTAAACAGTACACCATCACTTAACAAGTAACTAAATGGAAACTAGAATTACGGAATTGTCCAATTCATTTTAAACCTATTTTGAGGTCACCTTGAGTCAAAGTGTCCCCTTTTCAGTGTCTGACCAACTGTGAAATATGGTCATCAGTTCTTGAGTCATGTTTTGTGAGGTCACAGTGACCTTGACCTTTGACCAACAAATTCTAAGTAGTTCATCCTTGAATCCAGGTGGATGTTTGTGGCAAATCTGAAGAGATTCCCTCGAGGCGCTGCTGAGATATTGCGCTTACAAGAATAGGACAGACAGATGGACAACCCAAAAACATAATAAATGAAAAAAACACAAAATAAGGTTCAATCAAACCTTGCTTCCTTGGTCCTTTGTCACCTGCCTCCTGTGCTTCTCATCAGACTTGTTTCCTACTAAAATCTTCTGCACCGTGTCTGGGGCACACTGCAAAGCAACAACAAAAAAAGACAGACAGAACCGATATAAGACTTCATCATCTTGTCACTCACACTAAGCCACTGGGTAGGTAATACAAACACTGGGTCACTGTGAAGGGCAACAAGTGCAAGGGAGTGAAATGAGAGTGCTTATTGCCATACTTCATCCACATCGCTGGCCCACTTTGCCAGGTGCTGAAAGGACGGCTTGCTTGTGATGTCATATACGAAGATGATACCCTGGACAAGAATCCACAAAAGATAAAGAAAGAAATATAAATAATTAATGCTACAGTAACCCATGAAGGTAGCTTGCCTCCAGTGACTGTTCATATGGAGGGGATCACCTGTGCCCGTCTGTAGTACTGTTTGGTAATGGTCTGATAACGTTCCTGACCGGCCGTGTCCCTGCACAGAAGACAAAACACAGAAAGAAGATCACACAATGTGCAGCAAACTGTAAATGCAGTAAAATGACATACAAGTAACTTAACTTACCATATCTGTACTCGCACCTTGACTCCATCTATTTCTAGTGTTTTCATTTTAAAATCAACTCCTACCAAAAAGAAGACAATTGCATTTTATTTCACAGAAAGCAGGGTCAACAAAAGCTAACGGAAGTGATGTCTGACGCAACCGCAAACGCCTTCTTAAATAGTCAAACTGGAATCACCTAAGCAACTGTGACAAACTGGTGAAAGAAACAACTTTGTGGTATCTTACACAGGCTTTATGGGCTTTGGGTTTGTGAGCACTTAATGAGTGTTGCTCAGACACGCTATTATCCCTAATGAATTAAATCTCAGGCGTGGCATAGTGTCACATTTTAAATCACTGTCTCCACAAAGGGGTTGCAACTGCTGTGAACTATGTCCGCTATGTACCAGGACTGCACTGGTTGTCAACAACAGGAAGTATCACTTTATTGGTTTATATTAAATAGTATTTAAATGAATTCTGGTTTAGTTTTTATGCTGCCACCACAGTTGAAGGTCCACTTAAATAAAGACATTAATTTCTATTCTTCATGCTACATCCTGAATGGATGCTTAAAATGTATATACTGTAGTATTCTATTTTTTAGATTATCCCAAACAAACTATATTTTACTATCTGGGGTATTTTCAATAATAATTAATCTACTGATAATTTTCTAGGTTATTCATTTAATCATTAAGTAAGGCTGAACAATTAATGAAAATGTTACCAAAATCACAATATGGCCTACTGCAATTTTCAAATCGCAGGAGGTACAATATTTGTTCAAGGCCCCTAATATGCCCCTACATTAGCTGTTGCTGATTGACTGGAACAATGTTGCGGGGAAAGTGCACACCGCTTTCTTTGCTTTGCAATTGCATTATCAGTCAAAATAATTAGATAGATTTTATCGTTTGTTATAAAAAATGGCAGATAAATGGTGACAAATCCCCTTTGCACTTTCGTAAAGCCCAAGTCAACATCTTCAAATTGTTTGTTTTGCCTGACTAACTGTCCAAAACCCAGACATTTTTACTTTACTGTCACCTAAGACAAAGAAAAGCAGCAAATCCCCAGAACAGAGAGGCTGCAACAAGACAATGTTTGGCATTTTTGCTTGAAAAATAAGGTTATATGGTGAATGTATGGACCTTTTTTTCCAGCAGACATTTTAACTCATCATGGTAGAAAAAATGAATGGTTGCTCTATTCTATTCAAGTGTCCCAATAAGCCATGACAGTGTGACAGTGTGCCTGTTATCAAGAATAGCTGCAGATGAATTTTCAATCAATCGATTCATCAATTACTTGACTAATGGTTTCAGCTCCAATATATATACTATACAATACACTTGTACTTCCTTTTCAACTTCTACGAAGAAGTACCAGCACTTTGTTGGCCAGATGACACAGCTCTCTAAAAAGACTCTGTAATTGTGAGAAATGGGGATGCAGATCTGGAGGGAAGAAGCTGTCTAATATTCACCAATAATCACAACATCAGGGATCTAAAAGCAAGGAGATTGTAGGTACCACGCACTTTCTCTAATAACTGGGTTTAATCCCATGTAAAGCCTTCCCACCCGGCAAGCTCTCCTGATATCCAGCTCTCCAGGTTGTACTTCACAAACCTTTCACCCAGGCTCCGCTCTACACTACAGCACTGTATTTTACAGTCACAACAAACTATACTGCCTACCATGGAAGTGTGTGCTGTAGGTCTACTGTTTTCTTTGCTTATGTAAAAACAGCCCCACCATTTCCCTCCAACTCATTAGTGTGTCCAACAGTCAGGAAAAGAGGCAGCAGTGATATGAACCCCAAAGTGCATTTCAGTTCACAAGTTTAATTTTTAAAAAAATACAAAACAGGATAAAATATCAAACACTTTGAGGGCAGAGAAAATATTGTTTTTGTGGGCCTTCCTGTTCCATTGTTATGCGATGCGACAGCTCACAGGCTCCCACTTCTTCTGTATGCTTTAGTGTTTTTCCTTAAGG